TTTGTTTTAGCTTTTTTGAGACAGGGTCTCACTGTCTTGCCCAGGCTGGAGTGCAGTGGTTTGATCATGGCTCACGACAGCCTCTAATTCAGCTTCCTGAGTAGCTGGGACTACAGGCACACATCACCATACAATGCAGAAGGTATAAGTAGTGGGATGTGTTGCAGGGAGGAGTGGGAAGGAAGGGGTGATGTGAGGGAGCCACTTGGCAGGGGGAGCAGGCGTGCTCTGCAGAGCCCCACGGGCAGCACCAGTGAGTCAGCAATGGGAGGAAGTGACACGAGGGCACAACTGTCTCTCCGGCTAATTTCTGATGCAGCAATCCCACTTCTGGGTATCTACACAAAGGAAAATAAATCATAAAAATACCTGCAATTTTGTTTATTGCAGCACTATTCACAATGGCAGAGACATAATCAACTTGAATGTACATCAGTGGACGAATGGCTAAAGAACACGTGGTATATGCCCATTGGAAGACTCCGAGGGTGAGAGGGAGGTGAGAGGTGAGAAATAACTTAAATAACTTAATGTGTAATGTACACTATTTGGGTGATGGGTACACTAAAAGCCCAAACTCCACTACGTGACAGATCCATGTATCAAAACTGCATTTGGCCAGGATCACGCCTATAATCCCAACACTTTGGGAGGCCAAGGCCAGGCAGATCACTTGAGGTCAGGAGTTCTAGACCAGCCTGGCCAACATGGTGAAACTCCATCTCTACTAAAAATACAAAAATTAGCCTGGCATGGTGGCGGACACCCGTAATCCCAGCTACTTGGGAGACTGAGGCAGGAGAATTGCTTGAACCTGGGAGGTAGAGGTTGCAGTGAGCCAAGATCATGCCACTGCCCTCCAGCCTGGATGACAGAGTGAGACTCCATCTCAAAACAAGACAAAACAAAACCAAAAAACTGCGTTTGTACCCCTTAAATTTAAACAAAAATGAGTGTTAAAGTTTGATTAACGATTTTATACCAGTTAGGCTGAAATAAATATTAAACTTTCAAATGTGTCATGTTATTTGGCAAATAAGGAAAAATATGAAAATAAACTTTATGATGTTATTCTATGCTTATGTTACTATTAATACATAGTTTTAGAAACTTTGCTTTTCAGTAGCTGACCACTGCCGGTTTTCCAGGGCTTACTGTACAGCAAGCATCCTGCTCAGCATCCCATTCTCTCCTCCCACACTCACCTTTCACACAGTTGCTATTAACGGCCTTTCACAGATGCAAAACTTGGGAATAATAAGGTGGTCATTTGCTTAAGGTGAAACCACTAGCCCAGCATCAAGCTGACGCTGCAGCTGCCCTCTAGCCGCCTTCGGGCAGCTCTGACTCCAGGCGGCCAAAGTCCTTAGAGAAGACCCAGGACCGTGAGGGCAAAGCAGGACATCGGCCCTGGCACGGAAGAACTTTGAGCCCAGGCTGGTCAAATACATATGCGAATAGTTTAAAAAAAATAGTTGAAGGCAACATAAATCTCTAGGAATTGATGGTGATGGTGGGCGGGCGCCGGCCAGGGACAGCTCCGCAGAGCTGAGGCTGGGCTCGGAG